ATGATGCTTTGGAATATTGAATGTATGCATGTATAATAAAGAAAACATAGATCCAAAGCATCTAGGGTTGTATGTACACCATAGGAGTGTTAGAATGCTCAAAACCCAACAAGCTGGCATACGTATCTCCATTGGATGATTTCTCATACAACAACAACTACCACACCAATATTGATCGACCTGCCTTTGAGATGCTCTACGGGAGGAAGTGTCGTACCCCGATTAGGTCGGTCAGGGAGTCATGGGAAGTACGAAGGTGGTACTCAATACTACAGAGTTGATACAACAGATACATGGTAGGCTTCAGATCGTGCAAAGCCGACATAAGAGTTCTGTTGATAGATGTCGATCAGATTTGGAGTTTCAGGTCGGGGATATGGTACTCCTAAAAGTGTCACCTTGGAAAGGTGTCATTCGATTCAAGAAGTGGGGCAAGCTGGGCCCCATGTATATTGGTCTGTTCAGGTTTGTTGCCTAGGTGGACAGGGTTGCGTATCCTTTGGAGTTTACCAACGAGCCCATACAGATTCATATCACGTTTCATGTCTCTCAGCTGTGGAAATGCTTGGTTGATGATTCCACAGTAGTGTCATTGGAGGATATTCATGTTGAAAAATGCCTGGACTATATAGAGAGACCGGTTGTGATCCTCGATAGGAAGACGAAGACGTTGCGAAACAAGGAAGTAGGTTTGGTGAAGGTGTAGTGGCAGCACCGGAAGGGTTCAGAGTGAACGTGGGAGCCCGAGGAAGAGATGAGAGAGCACTATCTAGAGTTATTCGTGGCAGCGGACTTCGAGGACGAAGTCTAAGTCAAGTAGGGAAGAATTGTAACACTCATCTTTCAGGTACTTTCAGTTTGAACTTTATCATATTTTATTTTTGCAAGAATGGTCCTTACGCGGGGCGTAACTTACTTCCTACGCATGGTGTAGGAAGGGATGTGATACGAGAGGGTTTTACACCCTACGCAGGACGTACTAACCATACTTGGGGCGTAAGGACGCAGTGCCTAAACCCTAATTTTTAGGGTTTAGACCCTATTTAAAGGACCTTAAGTTCTTGTGAGCCTCCCTATGCTCAGCCTCCACCCCTATATCTATAAGTAACGAAACCATAGTCACCTTGTAAGGATCTTAAGCCTTTTAAGTGTTTTTTTGTATGTCTTGTGAAGAAGGAGATCATTGGAGGAGATCTTGGGAGTCTATTGCTTGTAGATCCATACCTTGATTTTCATTTAGCTTCTTCAGGTGGCAAAAAGCTCTAACATTGGTGGTTTATTTGCTAGATCTTGTTAAGTTGGTGGATGTTTATGTGTTTTTGTGTCTTGACTTAGGTTCTAGTGAGTATGAGCTACTCCAGAACTCTTGAGCACCATTTCTAGCCATTTATGAGCTTGTGAAGTCATAAAAATTGGTACTTGGACATTCCCATTCTTCCATGCATGAGATTTTAGACCTTGGAGAGAATATTTTGGATCTAGGGCTTGAGTTTATGCTCTATTAAGCCATGAGAAAGCTTAAATTTGATGAATTTATCAGTTAAGATGTCCCTTAGATAAACAGTTGTGAGTTGGACGTTTAGTCTTTAGGCGTTAAGGACTTAATGAGAAAGTTGGTGAATCAACGAGTTTACGCAGGGCGTTAACCTGGCTACGCGGGGTGTAGCCTACCAATGGCCCAATTTATGGATAAGGATCGTACAAAGGGCATAGAGTTGGAGTACGTCATGTGTAGGTCAACAAGAGTTTGACCGTTGACTTTTTGACCTGTTTACTTTTGGTCAACTATGATGATTTAGGAATCGGAAGGGCAAAATAGTCTTTTGCCCAAATAGGGAATGATCTTGGAGTTAGACTTGTTGAGTTGGGATAATTATCATAATTGTTAATTAGGGTTTGGTTTAATATGTATAGTATGAGGAGGTTCTCGTACCAGCAACTCGTGTGTAAGATTTATCTGTTATCGATTGAGGTGAGTCTCTTCACTCTACTTGCGGGTTGAAGGCACCAATACCGACCCGTTAGATTATGTTTGTAGGATGTTAGCTGTCTTTGTGACTCTTTCATGTGTTTGTATGTATATTGGGCGGGGCCCATTATGAATACCGGGCGGGGCCCAATGAATGCCCAGCGGGGCCTGATATGTGTATGGTATGTGTCATTTTGTGGAAGCTCACTAAGATTTGTGCTTACGGTTTTCATGTTTATGGTTTCATGTACTTCCGGTACCAAAGGGAAGAAATCGACGTGATTGCACCGCATCCGTCTGTATTTCGCATTTATGAGATGATTTGTACTCTGATAATTATTTTATACACTTTCATACTTTGATGAGTTTTGAAATGATTGACTAGTGGTTTTGATTGACTTAAAAACAAAAATTTGTACTTAGTATTTTTGGGATGATATAGGGATTGTCCTTCATAGTGAAGCCTTTGATAATTTGGAGACTTTCTTTGTAAAAGTTTCGTACTTCTACGTAAATATGGTTACAACCCATAAATTAAACTACAAATAAGAACTTATATTGACTGACAGATGCAATTAAAATTATTCGAGAAAGAAAAACCTCGTCTTGCTGTTCTTCTAGGTTATGCAATGTAGGCTCCATAATCGATTTATGGCGCATGTGAATCCCCAATCTAGTAAATGTCACAAAAAGAGATGGGAATCAATGTTATATAGGGTCAATTAAGTGAAAACGTAGGGAGAGAACCATAGAAGCAGCGTGGGGGAAACGGGGGTGGGGAGGCTGAAAATTTCGGAGGCGGGGAAGGGGTGGGGGAATGGGAAAATTTCGGGGTTGGGAGCGTCCCCGTTCCATTTGCCCCCGTTGTCATCTCTACTTTCAACCCTCATATTCATCTCTTTCCCAATCTTTATCTTATTCAATGAAAATCCTAAACTTATTATTTATCTTCTTCGTCTTAAACCTTATATTAAACGTACAATTTTCACAACTCAACTTATTTAACTAGAATATAGGATGGTAATTATATGATCTACCCTCCCTTTTAACGTGTTAACCAATATATTTTCTTCACTTTCATTCTTTATCTTTTAATATAATGATATTTAAATTTTGGACTATTTCTTTTTGTGTTTTGTCTAAGGTCTAAAATTTTAAACTCTCAACTCTTTTAAGTGGAACCCATTCCTCTTATGAAAACTACCAATAGAGGGCTTACACTTCGAGCAAACAATCCTTTGGGTTGGGCCCAACTTTATTCGAAAATTAACAAGTAGCAGTAGAACTAAAAGTAATAAGTTTCCATTTTGATTCGTTGGCTCCACTTTCAGTGTGTTTGCCTTACATACATTGGCTAAATTTGGTAAAATATGGACATAGTGTGGTTCGCTAAAATCATATAACCTCGCAACTAACTGGTCATTATGATTGTAACTCATGTTGTGATATACATAGATTTAATTTCAGCACTCTTGAAGTCCTATTTTTTCCTAGCATCACATAAAAGAATCAATATATTTAAATATGACCTAATGTCGAAACAGTAATAAAGAAATAGGGGAAACAACATTGATGTGTTAGTAAGCAGGGTGGACTAAGAGTAGGAGACAGAGATGGTAATGTTGCAATAGCAATGACAAACAAAGGTGAGGTGCATCGACAATGTGGTTGTAGGTTTGAGTACCAATCATAGAGGAGTAATGATAATCGCAGTATTAACCTGTAGTTGAAAATTGGAGAATTTAAAGAGGAAAGAGGATAATACAGAAATATTAATAAAGAGGATAATTTAATCTTAAAATGTAAACTTAAAATGCAAATTTATGAAATATGAGGGTGTAATATAGAAATATTAATAAAGAGGGTAGGTTATGGAATAGGGAAAAAGGCTAGGGACTAAAAGTGTAATATTACACTTTCAACGCGCGGACGCATGGAATCAAGCGACTTTGCTAAATATATGAGTTTATAATGTATAGAAAAAACAACAAAGGATAGAGATGGAAAACAGGGTGAAAAGAAAACTATGGACCCAAATCAGGTAACGCCGTCAATACCAGAAACCGCCGCAAACATCTTTCACTCTTGTTCACGACACCTGCAAATACAACCCAATATAATATGGATCCAATCCTCCATTCTCCATACTCAATCACACAACCTTCACCAAATCACTTATACTTCCCTCTCAAAAGCACACAGCTAGCTAGATTTAGTAACTGCAGGAGGAGTTGATATCTCGATCGATGACAACCAAGGAACGGAAGATACTGGTGGCGGTGGACGAAGGTGAGGAGAGCACGTACGCGCTGTCGTGGTGCCTGAAAAACGTCGTCGCCGAGAATTCGAAAGACACCCTCGTCCTCCTCTACGTCAAACCACCGCAAGTCGTCTACACAGCTCTTGATGGATCAGGGTATTTGTTTTCGCCGGATATAATTGCCACCATGGATAACTACAGGAACCAGGTAGCTGAATCCGTGATTGAAAAGGCCAAAAAGCTTTGCAAAGATCTTCAAGATGTGAGAAATTAAACTCTCTTTCAATTCTCTCTAACGTGTATATATATCATTGTGTCGTATTTTCTGTTGATTATTCGAGTTGTGTTGTAGGTGAAGGTGGAGACGAGGGTGGAACAGGGTGATCCGAGGGATGTGATCTGCAGTGCGGCGGAGAAAATGGGTGTGGACATGGTGGTGTTGGGCAGCCATGGATACGGTTTGATTAAGAGGTCAGTTGTGTTTCTAATTTTCTATTGTGGAGCGATGATTTATGTTTATGAAATATATGAAAATTGAAAATTGAAAGGTGATGGATGCATTGAAATTGGCAGGGCATTTCTTGGAAGTGTGAGTAATCACTGTGCGCAGAACGCCAAGTGTCCGGTCTTGATAGTCAAGAAGCCCAAAACCTCTGCAGCTGCAACTTCCACTTCTTGAAGTTGAAGTTGTAGTTAGTGTCGTGTTATGTTATTATTTATGCATTGAAGTTTGTAAGATGGTTATTGTTGCTGTTTTACTTTTATGGTTATTGCGTTTGGTATTTTGAAGGCATTGTAAATATGGCACGAGCTTATGAACATAATGAAATATCAGTGGTATTATGATTGATTAGATTTGTTTATGGTTGAAAAGACAAAAGCTAAGTTGAATAGAGAGGAAAAAAGCATTTTAGTGGGTTGGCACATGACAAGATGTTAGATTAATTGGAAACGTATCGAACTTTCAAAGAACTATGAGAGTTATATGCATAGCTCCAAGCCTCCAACCATCGTTGTTAGATTCTCGATATCTTAGATCTTAAGGTTATTTATTTATTTTTTAATAATCATAGTAGGACCAATTCTGATCTTGTGTCCTAAGCTTTTACGATTTGACTAGGATCAAACTTATTCCGATTTTTATTACATTCAAGTCTTTAGTCTTCTTGATCTCAGAAAATTCATTTCTTCTTGCTAAAATATCATATGCATAACCTAAATCAATGATTCATTTACCATTTTACCTTGACATGGATTCGTCCATTCAACTCGAAATCCTCCGTTGCACCATTCAACTCGAAATCTACCGTTGCAGGAAGCCTCATAAAATATACAACACATTTTGAATAGGTAGAGCACATGATATAAAGATACGGATTTTAGTCTCTTTGTGATTTCGTGTTTAGCTACACATGGTCACAAATGTTTAAGATCTTTTCTTTATAGTTATTGGATTTGCACCTACAAAAATTATAATCAATTAAAACGTCAGAGTTAAGATGTCTTGATCAACATCAAATTGTAATGTATACCGTATAAATAAGATCTTCCACAAAGACTGCCTCAAGAAAAAAGTCTAGAGAAAAAGACCAAGTTCAACTATTGCAATGAGTGTGAGGGGAAACAAGATTGGAGGGTTTTTTTTTTTTTTTTCACTTTTTCTAAGATGAGGTGAATAATGCCTTGATGTGAACAATTTGACATGCAAGTTCATAGGTATTTGACTATTTGAGTGGTGCAAGTTCATATGATAGAAGGTGGCGTTCGCATGTGTTCCTCGATATATGTTATATATGTGTATATCTTGATTTTTTTTTTTTAATTTGTTAGTTTGTTAGTTTCGGTTGTAATCCTATCTTCACAAATGAAGGAACGAAGATATCCAGTTAACCACGTACATTTTTGTTATCTTTAAAAAGCCTAGGTCGCATAATCTCTTATGCATTCTTTAGGGACAAGCCATAAGATAAAATACGAGCTTGTTTTATAGCAATAGTAATTAATCGTTGTTGTTTCAAGGTCAATCTATTCACTCGTCTAGATAATATTTTTCCCTGTTCACTAATAAATCGACTAATTAAACTCATGTTTTTATGATCAATTCGATCCCCCGATTGGATCGGGGGCAAACGCCTACGAAAAGATATGTGCATATGTTGGCTAGAGTTGATAACTCAAGAAATTTGGGTTCTACTTTGCGGCATCTTCAGGCTACAACAACAAAAAAAAAACTTAGATCTCCTCGATTGAAGGAAGTTGATCGCATGATACAAGCTTAGCGTGACTGTGTTCAAATCGGAGCCATTAGAGAATCTCCGGTTTGGTTAACATTAGTTGAAAACTAAATAGGGGAAAAGTTGAAAGTGCTACAGTATGATAATGACCTTGAATTAGGAGTTTGCAGAAAAGAAATTTTTTTTTGAAGTTTACAACTGATCCTACAAACCGAACTGGTCTCTTAAAACAACGTCCTTTTATGTGTATTTTGAATTTCACATTTGATTTTAATAGGTCTTCCATTTTCTTCTTTACTTCCTTTCCACTTCATCATATTTCAACGACTCTTTGACTTCGCGCTCTCCTCCAACCTGTTTTTTGACTTCGACGCACGCATAAACGCACCATGTAAGTTACGTAATATTTTAGTTTTGATGGCGTGATTTTAGATACAAATTACACGAGATTGTTGATAACAAGAAGTTTGTTATAGGGTTTTTATGGGCAATATGTTAAAAGAAGAGGCCCGACAAAATTCGATGTTTAAATGTGAAAAATTGAAAACTCATAAAACAAAAAAAAATCAATTTCACATAAAAAAAAACCGAACCTAGAAGAAAAATGATACAAGAAGGTTTAGCAAACTACAAAACCAAATTTCTGGTTTCGGTTTGATTTTATCCAAAAACTGACCCATATTGACTTGTGATCACCATTCAACATCACATCTACCCTGTGAAACGTTTACACCATACTCTTGAATTCATTTAAAGAGTGAAATGTAAGAGTTTGAAAGTAAATTATAAGGGGAATGTATTCTTGAGTTTTTTTTTGTCAGGGATGAAGATGATAGAATGAAAGGGAAGCAGGAGTAAAATAGATGTCATTTTCATGCGTCAGATTTTGGATGATTTGTCTTTCTCTTCTATTTCTTTTCATTCATTTCATCTTTCTCCTTTCATCCCTTTTCTTCATTAAAAAATTCGAGAACAAGACTTATAGTTTCATAGATTTTGGTATTTACTCTTTAATGGGTATCAACGTATAATCTCCAACATCAGTATAAATGACAAAATATTGCTATTTTTATAAGTTGATGTAAAAAATATTCGGTTTATTTTGAAATAACTGTTACAATTTTGTTTTTGCGAACTGTGATATTTTTGGAAGTCTTCGACTATAATTTATTTCTAATTTTTTATTTTCTGATTGTGTTACAAATCCAAGTTGAAGTGTGAAAAACTTCAGATTGGGCCACTTCCAACGAAAGCAAGTCTACGACGAACAAACGAGCACCCCAACAACCACGAACCAAGTTCATTCTTTCGTTCCGCTGATCAGAAATCAAGTGCTCGCGTAAACACACACACAAACACAAATCATTCCATAATCCAGTTTCTGTAATTGAAAATCTGTAAGTATCTCACTGTCCTCGAATTCAACCTCTCCGAAACCCTAGGTTTTTTTTCTTCCATTTTGCTTTAAACCGGTGCGTGGATTTTTCGGTTTGAGTAAGTTTTAACGATTGAAACATGAAATTTTCAGGCCTTAAAAATGGAAACATCATCTTCAATTATAACTCCGGAAGATGTATTGGAGTCGCTGATGAACGACGGCACAATTGACACCATGAGATTGAAAATCATTAATCAGCTGAAAGCCAATGTATGTTTTAATGTCATTTTCATCTCCATATTAGTGTTTTCACGATCAATATGACTGGATTTCTTTGAGAATATTCAATCGTGATCTCTCCTCAGTGAAAAAAAGTGAAGTTCGATAGGTGTTTTTTTCTGAAGAAGAATGTCGATGCACTTCTCACGGGAATAGATTTACCTTTTTCTGTGCTTTCTCTTGCTCTTGATTTTTAATTTTATCTCTTTCTTTAGGGTTCTTACAACTTTGTAATTTTTAGGCTTTAGAGGTTTTAGGTAGTATAGTCTTGTTGTGTTGTATTCTATATGATCTTAAGATTTGTTTTCTTCGTATAGGAAGAGCTGAAGAGTACCACTATAAAAATGGTAGAGCAAAGCAAGGTTCTCAACACACCAGGGGCAGAGAAACAAACTAAAAGGGAACTCTTTGATGCTCTTAGACAAGAACTTGAGTAAGTTTCATCTGAAGCTACCCATTTATACTCTATAAAAGACATTAAAAGATTGATAACATTTTCTTCTATATACTCTCTGGCATCATATTCTAGTTGTACCTTCATTTGTACAGAACCCCTGTGCTTGAGAAGGCTTCTAAATCAGTTTGGGAGTTGATTTTAGACAATAATGGACTTGGGAGAGAGATAAATGAAACAGTTGAAAAAGTGTTTTGTCGGCTTAGTGGTCGAGAACCTCCATTGTTTCCTTCAAATGGTGAATTGCAATTGGAAAAAGGAAAAGCTAAAAAGGGTGAACAAGGCAAAGGAAAAGAAAAAGAAGCTCAAAGTGAAAAGGAAAATCTGGAATCTACATCAAAGAAAAGAAAGTTGGGGACAACAAATATGAAAGATGCTGTAGATGAATTTGCAAAATAATCTCTACTTCTTCTTCTTCCAGTCATCAAATACAAACCCCAAGGCAAGTATCACTATCTAATACAACAAATAGCAACATACTTGTATTTATTTTTACTATTTGTTTATTATACAGCATCCTGTTGCTGTATAAACTTAGCTACATTGATTTTTAATTGGGTGGATTCTTCAAAGCACAATGCCCTAATAAGAAAAGGGTTGAGAGTAGAATGCTATAATTGGATTACCCTGATTTAGTTGGTAACATTGTTAAGTTTGGTTGGATAAAAGCAGGGAGCAAATGTTGAAGGCCTTGCAGTGGCTGCAGGTGGTGGTGGTGTTTTCAGACAATGGGATGTTCTTTTCAAGTGTCTGGAAGTCCGATTACTACAGGCCAGTTTTCTGACTTTACACTTTGTGGAACTTCTAAATGATTTGACAATAGGGATCACTGTTTTATAAATTGTTGTTAGAAAGTAGGTGTCATTATTCGCTTGGATTTGTTCATTATAAGTAAAGGCTAGTTATAAGTTAGTTTGTTGAGGAGCTTGATGCTTGTTTGAAACTCGAAACATGGTGTTAGTTTTGATTCAGTATGTTGTAGTGATGTTTGATTATTTCATCTTTAACTTCGTGTGTTTATGAATGAAGTGGATGAAATTAACTCGGATTTTGATTTGTGAACCATCTTGTAAATCCACATTGTAATCCATTTTTTAACCAGATCCAATTTGTTTTTTTTTTAGGTTAATAAAAATATTATTTGTTATTATTATTATATTTTTTTCTTGTACTTAAAATTTAAATTACTATTTGTATTAAAAATAAAACAAAAAAAGAAGTGAAAGGTGCAAGAAGATTATAAGGTATGTTGAAAGAATAGAATGTAAGATTGAGTGGAAATGGACATAGAAATGAAGAAAGAAGAAAAAATGGTATAATTAACACGTAGCCTCATAAATCAAGAATGTTCACATTTGAGACTTTTAGTCAACTTCTGAGAAATTTCAATATGATAGTGAAGTTAGCTTGATTAACTATGGTAAGGTCAAGTATTATAGGTACGGTCAAGAAGGAAATGAGTCTACGAATAATTTCATCATCATTATGGAGTATCTTATTAAACTGGAGAATTGGCAAAAAGGGATTATGAAAGGGATTGTGCTTTAAGTACCCTTATCATTTTTATCCCCGTCACCTCCATCTAATCAATCATTTATTTTTAAGATCATTTTTTTTGTTTTTTTTGTTGTTTTTTGTCTTTTATTTATTAGATTATTTGTGTTATTTAAAAAAATAAGTAAAACTTGTTTTTTTTTTTTTTTTTTTTTTTTTGGAATTACACAAAAATGCAATTTCATATTGGAAAAGGTAATTTTACTCATTCATAAAACTTTCATATATGATATTTTGATATTGGATAAAAAAGCTTTATTATTATTATTATTATTATTAAAAAAACTTACTTTTCGTCTGTCGGTCCATTACATTCATTTATAAACAATTTCTCTTTCTATTTATTATTATTATTATTGATTTGATTTGATTTATCTTTATCTTTTAACTTTAACATTTTTCTTTAATAATAAATAAATTGATTTGACATAACTTTAACTTTATTCAATTCATTTCAATATTCATTCATTTCAATTCATATCAAGGTTCATGAAAGTGGCGATCGATCGTTTTTATGACAAGTTTTCAAACTAACCTGGTATGTATTTTTGATGGATAAATTTAGTTTATTCGTAAGTTGTTATATGTTATATTTTTAGTTGAATTTTTTTAAATTGACCAAGTATATATTTATATTTGTTAGGTGTTTAGTAATCGTGAAAATTTAACGGAGTGGATGCAAGAAACAACACAATCTCTTGGATATGTGGTTGTTATTAAAAAGAACAAAGACAAAAGGAAGTGGATATATTTTAAAAATTATTTTTATGTGTTATCGGGGTGGTGTACCTAGAGGTTCGGAGACGTCCACCAAAAATACAGGGTACAGAAAAACAAATTGTCCATTCGAAATTTTGCTTGTTACTATAAGTCGGATGATGTTTGGAGGTTAAAGGTTAAAAATGATGAATATAATCATGAATCTGCAATGTATATGGAGGGTCACCCATATGCAAGACGGTTAACCCCAAATGAATCAAAAATGGTTGAAGAAATGAAGATAAACAATGTCCCCACACAAGATATTCCATCGACACTGAAGAGACAAAATTCCAAAAATGTTTCTGCAGTAAAAACAAGTTTATGATGAGTGTTACAAACTTTGAATGGATGAGCGTGGAGACCGAAGTCAAATGCAAGTTGTTTTAGGATTTTTGCATTCAAAAGGATATATATTTAACCATCATGCAAATAATATTAGTTAATATGCTTTGAGATATTATTTCCACGATGGTTAAATATATATCATTTTGAATGCAAAAATCTGAAGACAACTTGCATTTGACTTGGTCTCCACGCTCATCCATTCCAAGTTTGTAATACTCATTATAAACTATTTTTATTGTAGAAACATTTTTGGAATTTTGTCTCTTCAGCGCCGATAGAATATCATGTGCGGGGACATTGTTTATCTTCATTTCTTTAACCATTTTTTATTCATTTGGGGTTAACCGCCTTGTATATGGGTGACACTCCATATACATTGCAAGTTCATGATTATGTTCATCATTTTTAACATTTAACCTCCAAATATCATCTGACTTATAGTAACAAGCAAAATTTTCGAATAAACAATTTGTTTTTCTGGACCTGTATTTTTGGTGGACGTCTCCGAACCTCTAGGTACACCACCCCGATCACACATAAAAATAATTTTTGAAATATATTCACTTCCTTTTGTCTTTGTTCTTTTAATAACAACCATGTATCCAAGAGACTGTGTCGTTTCTTGCACTCACTCCGTTAAATTTTCACGATTGCTAAACACCTAACAAACATAAATATATATACTTGGTCAATTTAAAAAAATTCTACTAAAAATATAACATATAACAACTTACGAATAAACTAAATTTATCCATCAAAAATAAATACCAGGTTAGTTTGAAAACTTGCCATAAGAAAGAACGATCAACAATTTTGTACATGTTGATATGAATTGAATCGAGCAAATATTGAATTGAATTGAATCGAACAAATCGTTTATAAGTTAAAGTTATGTCAAATCAGTTTCTTTATTATTAAAGAAAAAGTTAAAATTAAAAGATAAAGGTAAGTTAAATCAATTTCTTTATTATTAAAGAAAAAATTAAAATTAAAAGATAAAGATAAGTCAAATCAATAATAATAATAATAATAGGAAAATAGATTGTTTATGAATGAAATATGACGAAAAGACAAAAAGTAAGTTTTTTTTATCTAATATGAAATTGTATTTGCATTTTTTTGTGTAATTCCAATATTAAAAGTAAGGTTTTTTTTATTAATAATAATAATAAGTAAGTTTTTTTATTCGATATGAATATATATATATAAAAGTTTTACGAATAAGCAAAATTACTTTTTTCTAATATGAAATTGCATTTGTAGTGTAATTCAAAAAAAATAAGTTTTTTTTATTTAAATGATAAGAATAATCTAATAAATAAAATAAAAGAAAAAAACAACAAAAAAACAAAAAAGGAAATAAACAAAAAAAATAATGTCAAATAGTACCCGGATAAAAACTTAGATCAACAACTGTAGTTGTGGTGAAAATATGTCCAATAATTTTCCGACATAACTACGTTTCCGTTCATTTGACTGTTCAACGTGGCTTTCTTTTAACAATTCAATACCCTCTTCAAAAGCAAAATTAGCATAATCGGTAACATTGACATTAATTAAATCAAGCTTACGTCAAATTTATCAATAGACGATAATGGTATCGGTTGGTTCGCACATGAGTAAATTGCAATTTTGTGGGCACAAGGCAACCCACAACTATGGCGGGCAACCACAATCGTCCTCGGTTATTTGATGTGCATCAGGCCGGTCCAACCATTGTCTGATTTTTTCCAACGCATGGTGTGAAACATTTTCACACAAATCTTTAAAATGGGGTATGTTGTATCGATGCATCAACATACTTCGGTCTGTTTCTAAAATATCTTTTATCGTTGTGTGTTGCGATGTCACTACCTTTTCTATTCTATTAAAAAATTTATCTAAGTTAACATATTGTGTCTGCAAGAATTTTTTCAACTTCGTGTGTTGGCTCTTAACTCTATTGTTAGTGTAGTTGTGAAAGTTTAAAACTTGGTTAGTCTAAGCAGATACAAATTTTTCTTTGTATTTATCCAACCAGACTCGATTGAGATCATCGAGAAATTGGTTAGTACCTGGATGATATGTCACTCTTGATTTAAGTTTTGTGTAATTTCTCAAATATGTTGCCAATGTTGATGAATTAACTAAAGTATCCTAATCTCTTAAAAAAAATTCCACTCAGCATCTGGATGATATGTCACTCTTGATTTAAGTTTTGTGTAATTTCCCTGGTAGGGATCTGTCTAGAGGATACAACAATCAATCCAAGAAGTACTCTTGAATCTGTCGAAATT